TAGATGATGTGCAGCACTGGGCAGGTTGGCTGCGAAAGAACTCTTTCAAGTGCTGAGGTGCAAGGATGTCTCCTTGAAGACTAAGGTGCACCTGACACAGGCCATGATATTTCCAATCACCTTGTATGCATGTGAGAGCTGGACAGTGAATAAGGAAGACCAAAGAAGAGCTGATGCTTTTGAGTTATGGTGCTGGTGAAGAATGCTGAAGGTACCATGGACTGCTAAAGAACTAACAGATCTGTCCTGGAGGAAGTGCAGCTGGAAGGCTCCTTGGAAGCAAGATGGCCAGACTCTGTCTCACCTACTTTGGTCATGTTGTCAAAAGGGACCATTTCCTGGAGAAGGATGTCATGCTTGGTAAGGTGGAGAGTCAACAAAAGAAGGGAAGGCCTTCGACGAGATGGATTGACACGGTGGCTGCGACAGTGGGCTCAAGTGTAGCAAGGATCATGGAGCTGGCACGGGATCGGGCAGTGTTTCAGTCTGCTGTGCATGGGGTTGCTATGAGTTGGAAACAACTCAACGGCACCTAACAACATTAAAATAATTATTTTTCTTCTTAACCACCATTTTTTTTTTACTTTGATGATATCATTATTCACAAATGTTTACTTACTTTTTAGATTATTTACTTTTTTAAGTTGTTATTTTATTTTATTTTATTTTTAATTGTGATTTGGGTGAAAATTTGCAGAGCAAATTCACTTTCCATACAGCAGTTCACATACACTTTGTCTCATGACATTGACCACAATTTACTGCAATGCAACACCTCCCCTCCCACTTCCTCCCAATGGTTACCTCTTCCCTATGTCCATCCCTCCATGCACTTCTGCCCCATGAGCTGTCTCCCTGTGCATAAGCAGCCCTTCTTTATGCCGTGATTGTTCTCTCCAAAGAGCGTATCTACCTCAGGTACATGTTCAACTCATATGCCTGTCTTTTGTTTGGATGGAAGCCACAGGTGTGGGTTCATTTTCAGACCTGAAGGGCAGCTAGGGGCCATAGTCTCCGTGGTTCCACCAGGCTCTATTGGACCAGCAAACATGTCCCCCCCCCCCTTTATTTTTCTCCAAATGATTTTGAGTTTTGTTCCACATCGTTCTCCCTCTCTATCCAGGATCTCCTCTATAGATCCCCTTCCAAG